AACCCACTGCATCAAAGATGTGACGGAGCCTGTTTCAACACTACCCAGTGTGCTCAATAAGCTACTAAAGCCAGTCCACAGCTCTCACTTCAACAACCAAAAGAAAGACCTAGATAGCACATCCATCCATGAACAAAGAATCCCTCAAGAAGTAAAACTATCAGTAACAAAGGATATTGCTCCAGCCCTCCCCACCTATTTACTGATATGCAAAAACCAGCTGCTGCTCTAGCCCATGCCCCATTTATGTCTGCTTGGAGACAGATTGCCCTCAGCTGCCCCATGCTAGTTAGCCAGTGACCCAGGCACACACTAAATATAACTGTCCCCCCTCAGACCTTTGAACTTTTCTGATCCAGGAGGTCTTCTGAGAGAGCTGTTGGCGTAGGGTTTAGTTACCAGTAGAGTGCTTTATTTGAGCTAGCATTATAAAGCTAGCAAAGATATCTATAGTTTAGGAATAGGAAAACTTGGTCTAAATGTAGTGGAAAGATGTTTTCTGCTTTGCTGTTCCTCTCTGTAATAGATTGAGACAATGCTGGTAATTCTACTGGCTGAATGGTAGAAAAAACTCTGATTGGACTAATTTTCCAGAAAGGACTCCATATTTATATCAGTTTATTTATCTGCAAGCTTCTTCTCTGCTGAAGCCCGCGCAGGCATGCCTTTCTTAGCAAGGAGGATATTTATTTCAAGCAAAACGCCTATGCATGAAGATAGTCCTGCAAGTTGCTAAGCAGCTCTGCTCTACAGCCCTCCTGGGAGACCACCACAGGTACTTAATTCCCATATCAAGAGCTAGTGTGAAAAATGGTTTCAGATGGTTTTGACTTATGTGCTATTACGGAGGACTGTGCTTTGCTGCTGCTGTCTTTAGCTGGAACAGTCTTGGGGCTGCTCTAGCTCTTGTTTTCTTCTACTGTCTGTTTCTGTAGTTTCTCAAGGAGTTAAAGCCTTGGCTTGTAGGATCCTGTTGGATGTCTGGGCTATAGATTGCAGAGAGAAAGTCTGAGAGGCTTCTACCTGCTTTCAACCTCTACTTTTGTATCAAAGCACCTCCCTAATGTTCTAGAGAACAGCACCTTAATCTTTTGCTCACTCTCCTCTATCACCAGGATTTTGGGTGTTGGGCAGCTGCTCAGTTCTGGGCTGTCAGCACTGAAGTGTGTCCGTGACCTGGCCCATTTTGAGGAGGGAAGGAAGTGCCGATGCTGAAAATGCAGCTTGGCTAATTGCAAGAGAGCAGCTGATTGCTTCATTGCTGTTGGAGGTCCTGTAAAAGCCAGGAAGTGTGTAAGCTGGTAATGCCCAGAGGAGGGCATAGCTAAACTGCATTAATCAGGCTGGGATTGTGGATGTGTTGGGATATCTGGGATGCTCTCTGGGCTATTGGAAGTCCTGAGCCTTATTTCCAGTGCAAGTGGCTGAAATACGGTTGCACAGCCAGCAGGTGACAGTTGTGAGCATGTCAAGGAACTGCTCCAGTGTAAATTACTGTCTGCAGGAAGCTGGGCTTTAAAAATAGTGAACAGCCTGATAACACCCTGAAATAAAGGCAGCTTCTGTGCTTTGTAAGGTTAGCTACCACAAAGTTGGCTCCAAACATAATATAAAAAAAAAAAAAGTTTGAAAAGTTGTAATAAACTCTAGGTGCCACATGGGAAACTGTTCTAAATGAAAGGGTTTGAGCAGCAGCTGCTGGCAATGATGAGCAGATGGGCTGCAGCTGCAGAGCTGGTGCTGGTCTGGGGTCAGGGAACGCAGCTCTGGGGGGCACGTGGGGAACTGCTTTCCTGGGGATGTCTGCTCGGTTCCTTTCTGGTGCAAGGGATGTGTTTGGTCACGCACGGCAAGTGCTTTCCTTCGCATCAGGAAGAGGAGCCTGCAGGTCCGCTCTCCTGTGAATTGTTGGCTTCTGCGTGATAGACTTTGGATCATTGCTGCTGATGTTGGAGGCAGGATGGTTTTTTATGGTATGGGGGTCAAACCACCAGCTACTATGCTTTTGAATTGCACCAGAAATTCACTAAAGAGCAAATTCCTAGCTATGAAATGCTCCTGGTTGACTTCAGCTCTTGCCTGGTAGAGATGATGCTGCTGTTCAGTAAATCACACTTCTGCCTTCTTGCTCTTCCTGCTACCTTTTAAACTGTAGCTATGTGACAAGTCAAAACAGATCAGGAGAGAAAAAACTTGTCCTGGGAAGTCAGCTTCAGACTGAAAAAGCTTGAGGTCCTGCTGACTCTTGTTGAGAACTTACTGTGCTCTCTGAGAAGCCCCTGTTGTCAGTGTCCTCTTGTGGGACAGTGGCTGGGGACAAGAACACTGAGTAAGACTTGAATCTGAGATGGGACAAAGGTTTCTAATGTGTTCCTAGGCTCTCCCACCTGAAACTGGAAAGACTGTGGTTCTAATTATTTTCACAATGTTTTTTTATTGGAGTATTTATTCAAATTATTCTTCGTGATGTTCCTGAGTTAAAACTGCTGCGTATCAGCTACAGCTGAAAGCACTCATTTTGAAAGATTAGTTTAATTATATAATCTTTAGTTATAGAGAACATAACGTAACATTGTCAAAGGCAAATTTTGGGTTAGGTGACTGTCTTGCTGTTTGCTTTCATCCTACAAGCACCCAAGGGCAGGGCTGGTGACATTTTGAATTTAACCTCAGTCATGCATCTGGCTGCCTCTGTAGAGAGTTCTGAAAGTTTGATAGAGAGTTCTGAAAGTTTGATAGAGAGTTCTGAATGGCAGAGATACTTTAAATGCCTTGCTACATTCTCACTCTTTTTGTTTTTAATTAGGAATAATAAAAATGTGGCCGTTGTCTCCCAGCTTGTTGAAAGAGCAGACAGCTGTATAGGACAGATGTATTTAAATACAAATTACATGCATTTTTGTTGCAATACTATTGTCCAGGAGTGGTGGAGCTCAGCAGAACTGGTCACATGGGAAGTGTCTGCAGGCGAGTGATGTAGGGAACATGATGAACTGAGGCGATAAGCTCTTAAACAGAGAAGTTCCCCAGATGAACACACGGTACTGAAACCTCTGACTACCTAGCACCTCTTAAAGCCTGGGTGTAGCGTGAAAGTATGGGGGGAAAATCCATGGGGAGATGCAGGAAGGCTCCTTTGTTCGTGTTGCTGTAACGCCAGCCTGCTGATGTGCTGCGTTCGCAGGCTGTAGTGCAGCAGCTGGGAGAGGGAACTGGGAGCGTGTTCCCCTTGCTGGCTATGGCCAAACAGCTTCACCCCTGTTCGAATGCGACCACATTAGAGGCATGCCCTTTGGCTACTTGGTGGAGAGCACAACTTTATTACTTCTCTCCTATTAAGCAGATCTGGAACAGGTGTAAGTCATCCTCACCTCTGCTGACTCCAGGGAAGCTGTGCCAATTCAGAGCTACTCTCTCTGATTTTTTTTTTTTTTTTTTTTTTTTTGGTTCCAAGACTGTACTTGTTTTAGTTTTGGCTTCAAAACTTTTGTTCTTTTAAAAGAGGTTTCCTTGCTGTGCAAATAAAACTGAATTTGGAGTCCTGTAGCCTGCCTAACCTTGTTGCAAGTGACATATTTGGGAGTTATCAATTTCAATGGATGTCATAGCTGATAGGAAAAAAAAAAAGAATCACTGCAAATTTCACAATTACTGCTATGCCTTGCTTTGATACTGGTGCATTACTCTGGCTGGGTGTTGGTGGCAATGTGGGTCGTTGATAGCCTGGGAGTTTTGTGCTGAGCCTTTGGTTTCTGTGCTGTGAAGGAGTGTGTGCCTGCCTGGGGCTCCCTCGTGCTCCCTGAATCCACTGGCCTCATGATGAAGCACAAGGAGTTGCTGGGGTACAGCTTGTAAATGCATGAGGAATGATTTAGGGTAAATTTAATTGGGATTTATTGGTGGATGGGGTCATAACGCCTCAATTTCCTAATAGTTTAATGTCCTACTGTGTACAGGAGTGTGGTCTAAGGGTTAGAGCACTGCCCTGACAGCTCCAGTGTTTTCTGGGAGCTTATTGATTCACTGTTAGTCATCTTACAGCTGTCTCAGCATTTCTGTAAGTTGTTTTGAGATCCACTGTGGGGAGCTGAGTATTTGTTACCAGCAGAGGTGGAAGCAGAGCTTGTCTTTCCATGGCTGCTGTACAGCTGGGGATTTCCAGCTCTGAGACAAATGTGAAACGGGATGGAGAAAGAAAACAAAGAAATAATAATAATAATAAAAAACCAAACCAAAACAAAAAAAAACCCAAACCAAAACAACAACAACAAAAAACAAAACAAAACAAAAAACAAAACAAAAAAAAAAAAAAAACAAACAAAAAACCCCACCAAAATAGAAAGCTGGTAGTTTGATGCAGTAGAGGCTTTATTATCTGAGATGTTGGTTATATACCATAAAGAATAATGTAATGCAGACTATAAGGCAAGCACTCTCTGACTTCCAGCTGGTGCATCAGAGGTGGATATTTAAGTAGTGCTTCCAGAGTGAATTGATTCATGCAGTAGACACTCTTAACTTGAAAGCCAAGTTCTGGTTTTCACCATTTTACGTTTATTTGTCTTATTTCTGTTGGTTTCATATAGAACAAAGCACAGAATTAAAAACCAGCTTCTTCGCAATCTCCTCTGGAACAAGCTTGAAAGCAGAAAGAAATGTGTATTAGCAGTATTAGCATGAAAGAACCTGGTTTTTGTTGTCACAGGGCTGGCTGAGGCCACTTTGATGATGCAATGTCAGCCATGGGAGTGAATATGCACATGGTGAAACACATAATGTTTTCTGGCAGTCATGGAAAAACTGTCTTCATGCAGCTGAGATATGAGCTCACTGTAGATGATAGACTGTAGCTATGAAGCTATGAGACCTCTAAATCTAATGCAGAGTATAGCATGGAGAAGATTAAATAAGGGCTGGTTTGTAAAGGTGTCAGGTTGTCCACAAGCCCCAGTGATTGCAGCAGGAGAAGAGTTGTGCTTCTGAAAGCTGTGCCTATGAACTCAGCTATGGGTGGGCATCTTGCTCTTCATCGCCTAGTTGTTCTGTGGGCAACTCCATGGAGCTTATTGTTGCCCACAGTTGTAGTGGTAGCTGTTGGACCACTGGTATGAATAAGGGCAGGAGCTGTGTTGGTACATGTGAGCTGGAGCGCATATCTGAGGGCATCTTGTAACGCCTGGTTGCCCACAGTGTGACACGCAGAGATGTTCCCTGCCTTGCACAAGGGGCTGAGGGAATGCCACGGTGCAGGGCTCAGGAGACCTGGGACTACAGGAGGAAGAGTGGTCTTCCACAATGTGTGTCTCAACACACCGTGATGAGCATGGTGCAGAGCACCTGGGGCTGCTCTGGATGGTCCTCCTCACGGTGCACATCTTGGCACCTTTGGAAGCACACGGCGTGCACGCCGCGCACTTCACCCCGGAGTTGTGGCACTGCGTGAAGACTGGTGTGGCATACTTCACTGCACCTGGAACATAGCACTGCTGCTTGTATTGGTACCCATAATAAGACATTGTTCTGGGATGGAGATGACCCTAAAACACAAAGTAGGAAAGAAAGGTAAATTAATTCCCTGCTTGTACCTGACAAACTGCCTTTGTGCTGTTTGAGCCTGCTGCGTTGACTCTCAGCCATCATCTGCGTGGCGTTGCCTTGAACTAAGGATCTCTTTCACAGCTTCAGATGTCGTGTGGAGCAGGTAGCTATTATACTTAGAAGGGGAGTTTCAGACATATTTGTGAAGTGACCTGCATGCTTCGGCTAGTGAGGCAATGGCATATCTGGAATTAGTGCTGAGGTTCTCGTCTTTTTTTGGCAAGGACTATCATTTATTTGTTTCCAGACGCTTCAGTTGAAGCTGGAATTGCTTTCTGCTGGCACTAGGTAAAGCAAAAATAAGTATTGCCCTTCATGCTAATTTAAATTGCGGAACAGAGGATTGTTATCTTTGTAATTGGCAGGGTGATATGGCAGAGCTCTATTTTTAGAAGCCTGATGTTCATTAAGGACAGAAAGACTTTTGAAAATCTGTCTCAAGATGCCAGTGTCCCATATGAGTAGAAAAAGTCAAATGCAACTCTGCAGCTCAGGATGCAGCTGTGCAATTCCTTTACTGGCTACGCTGTGGTCTCTTGCTCTTTCTCTCAGTTTACTCTGCTAGAAGCTGGGGACTAAAGGGCTGCAAGAATCACAGGAGAGGTTCATGTCTGTACCTCAGCTGCCTGAATTAGCCTGTGGAACATCTTGTACTGCCACAGCTAAACTGCTCCTGGCATGGAGATGGCTTGCTTCAAAGGCAGGAGGGTGCAGGATCTGTCCCAGCTGCTGAGAAGAGACATTGCAGAGCTGTGGGATGTCAGAGCTGTCTCTGCCACACTTGGAAGACAAGAGGTGTCCATTCCAAGGATGTGATTGAGCATAGAGAAGTGCTGAGACATTGGATTTCCTAATTAAAATTTAAAATCTGACTGCAGAATAGCTTTCCTCAGCATCAACAAATGGCACTTGGGCGTCTGTACTTTGCAATTTGGCGGCAGCTACTTTTGCAGATATATAGGACTACACTAAGAGCAAGCTCCCAAGGGTCAGGTCCCAGCTACTGTAGATCAACATGATTTGTTTACAAAGTAGACAGCTGACAATGAACTGCAGACACAGGAGAAATTCCAGGCAGGATTAGATCAGAGTTTTCTTGCTAGATTTTGAAAGTGGGTAGGTAATACTAGCTCTTGTAAAGAAGCAGCCCCCAAAAAGCGTGTATAGAAGGTATCTTGAATATGCAGAAACCAAACTTTCTTTCAGTTATTCCACATAAAAAAAAAAATAAAAAAATTAGCCTCTCTAGTATGCTAGAAGTAATCTGTCGGTCTCTGGTTGGGTTGCTAAAGGTCAGCTGCCAATTGAAATAGTTACTTTACTAAAATAAGTGATCTCTAATATAAGAGAAATGGAGAATTCATTTTTTTGAAAGCAAATTTAAAAATACGGATACCCAAATGGCTAGATCAAAGTAGAAACATCACATCCCAGATTGTGAGAGGTTCTGTAAATCTCGGGTTCAACTTTAAAAGCCTGTATCTGTCTATGCCTGTAAAAAAATAATACCCAAGAAAGATCCTTTAAAAGAAACAACCATCTTAATTCACAGTGTCAGAGTATTTCTGCAGGATCTAGATTCAAGTTCAAAATACCAAAAAAAGGATATTCTGCTAGTTAGAAATAGGCAAATAACTTACCGAGCTCACAGCGGAGAGTAAGAACTGGATTGAAAGCTTGGAAATGCGTGTTTTTATATGGTCTTTTGGACTGCATGGAAAACCTGAGCCACTGTGTATCAAATACTAATTAGATCCCAGAGAGAATTTGTTTATATGTAACATTTTCATTGGGTGTAATTACTTTACTCGTGATTAATAATAAATTTTTATCCCCAAATGCCATGAAATGCACCACACACCCTGCGGGTTCTTTCCATTTTAAATCTTTATGGGAGAAATAAAAACCGCCTTTTATTCCATTGACCTCATTAGTTATGTAAGGAAATCTCTCTCTCCTCTTAACGCTTCTTTTGACAGATTGACAATCAGGAAGCAGCAGGAGTGAGTGGGCAATGATGGTCCTCACTCCATTTTCCTTTTTGTTCATTTAAATGCAGGTAGGTACCTGGGGGAGTTGAGGAAAACAAGTCTGGGAGAGATGTACCCGAAGCTTGGCACTCAGCTACTCCTAGCATGGCTGATCTAGTTCTCTTCAAACTTAATAACAGTCATTCCCTGATTTTTATTAGGCTTTGCTTTTGTTTGTTTTTTGCAGTTGGAAACAAGGCCAGTGGAAGGTGTGCAGGCAAGATGATACTGCCTTTTGGTGGGGCGTAAACCTTGGGGCTGTGTCCAGGATTTAAATTGTGGCAAATTGAAACCTGCTTGGAAACTGGCACAGCTAACTTGCAAGGAACTATGACTTTGCCAAGGATTTAAAAGCTGGCTGTGCTTTATACAGGCAGCTGTGGTCCTACAGGCACTCTGATTTGATTAACAATGGTGTTGGTGAGATCTAGTCGGGTTCCTTCAGTGAGAAATAAGGAATTACAAGGTCGGACTGGGTTATGGCATCCCAGTAACAGCAAAGAGGGGGAGTGCTTTTCCAGTGTGACCCCATTATCTTACTCTGACCGTTCCAACAGCTGCTGGCTTGCACCTAGACCTCCGCTGTGCCTGTGAGGATGCTGCCTGTATGTGTGCCTTGTTTGGCCATCTGAAAGGAAACTGCTCCCTACATGTGATGCAATTAGTTGCCTTTGATGTCTTGAGGCGCGTCCTTTAAATTGGATATGTGCTGGTGTGCATTATAATGGAGTTCAGCTCGAGGAGCTTGGCTCATATAAAACACTAATGAGCATTTGTGAGGAGTTTTAAGAGGTCCTGTTATGAAGATGTTATTTAATAGATTCTATCAGTGCTATTGTTTGTATGGGGAAATATAGGTCTGAATGATACCTGTAAGGACTCTCTTAATTTATCAGTAGAGCAAAACTGAGGGGTAGAGTGGGAATAGGCTCTGATACAGGTCATGCCATGTGGCGTGTGGTTCCATAAGGTTCAGTGTTTTTCTCTAGTTCTCAACCTTCCTGGTGAATTTAAGGCTTATGGCTTAATGTCAATGCAAGAGCTATCACATGGAGCAATGAGAACTATCAAGGTGCCTAATGAAAGGTTAAGTTACGGGAAAGTGTGTCATTCTCTGCAGAATAATGTAGTGATGCTGAGTGGTTTGAGGCTGGGCCGGTAGTGATAGCTTTGGTGAAGCATACAGGGCATCAAGGCTGTCTTTGGGATGCTTACAGCACACCTCCAAGCCTGTCCTGTTTTGTAAGCTGGGCATCAAGCTTCATGGCTGGTCATTCAGAAGTAGAATACCTCTGGACTTTTACTCATGGGATATCTAAAGCCTTATTTATAAAACTTTTTTTTTTTTGTTGTTGTTTTTTGAAAAAGAAACAAAGCATGGAATGCAACAGTAAAATGCAATCTTTTATTACAAAGGAAAAGTGGAGTGCACAACTGCTGTCTGAAGGAAGACAAATTAAGATAAATGTAATTCCAAGGGTTGAGTAGGCTTTATTTCTAAAAATTACATATTATGTTCCACGCTTTCATAGCCACAAACAAGCTCAATTCCCCCTGCAACTGCTGGCTCTTCACAGCCTTTATGGTGTTGCTAGTTTTAAGACAAAGTGGGAGAAACCTCAGTGGTTTCTCATGTCTATATTTGTTGTTATGAAATTAAATGTGTTAAGCCTCCCTAGGTTACAGTCTATTTAGTTGTAGCATGGTAGTTATAAAGCAGTTGAGCTGATCACACATACCTGGTTTGAGGAGGAGAAACAGATGAAGCAGTGAGCCTCAAATTACTTTATATAGTTTCCTAGTCAGTCTTGTGGAGAGGACACCTTTTGGGGCACAAAGTCCTTATTAGCCAAAGCCAACATGTAATTGATGTAATTATTGCTAAGGTTCCTGCCTCACCTGCTGTGGTGTGCACACTAAACCACACACATTTTTGGAGTTTTAAACTTCATAAATAAGATCTATTTGTTGTCGTGTTTCAATGGTCTTGGGGATGGGTTGGATTCTTGATATCTGTCTGTTTTTTTTGAACAGTATAATCAAATGGATGTTTTCAGAGAGCTCCTTGCTCTTGTGGTGAACTCTAGCTTGGTCCTTTAAGGTTTTATGTCTTTCCTGCATATCCTTACAGACAGAGGACTATTAAAGTATTTTCAAGAATCTTAACATTTCAGTTAAATACAGAATAAATGTGCCCTGTCAACTCTTTCTGAGTGGTTGAAGCTGTTGATGGCTTGTCTGTGGTTCAGGTTTTTTTTTCTGTCTCCTGATGGATACAAAGATGATGATTTTTGTGTTTAGTATCTTTAGTTTTTAAGGTGCTGGAACTTGATTCTTAAGCTTGTTTTAACCGGTAAATTGAGCTGACATGTGCACTGTTTTGTTGCATTATTTCCTTATGGACGCACTCTTCAGGTACTGAGTTTTGGCTGTGGTTCACTGGTTGACTCATCACTTATTGCCTTGTCTTCTCCGGTAGTGCTTGAGCTGGCAGTTGTAATACTCTTGTTAAATACATATGACAACATCAGTTTAGAACACTAATGAACTTTTACAATGTGCTTTGAAAATGCTTTCAGAAAGCTTTGGCCTGCCTACTGTCAGTGTTAGCAATTATGTTAAGATGAATGGACCCTGAAGTGACATTAACCCCAAGCAGTCTGAAGCAGAGAAGGAAACAAATCCCAGCAGCATGGATTCCTCTCACATTAATGTCTTGAAAAGTCAAGATCTTCAATACGTTTCTAAAATAAAACTTAATGTTTAGTTTTATCTTCAACAAATTAACTTGAAAATAGTAGTTAGGTATTTAATTTCGATGTTTTTGAGGAATGACTTTAGGGATAAATTGCTACCCAATCTAAGCTAGGATAAAGACTTATGTTGCAATTCACATGGTTATCTTCAATTATAGAAAAAGCAGAACCAGTTTTCCAAAGGAATTACAAATATCTTATGTCATCCTCAAACATCATGACACTATGAAGATAGATCTCAGTATGCAATTAAAGTAGGAAAGCATCCCAGTCATTTCCCACTGTTGTGAAAATCCTGTTTGAAGTTTCTACTCCACAGTAGCATATAATGCAATGGGGTCTAGTCCTGCCCTTCAGAGTAATTTTGCTGTGAAGCTGATGATATATAAGAAGTTTCCCCTGTGATCATTTGGAAGAGGGGGGGGAAAACTTTGTCCTGCAGTATTACCGCGTTGACCTCTAACTCTACCAAAGGAAGGCTTTTCCTTGAAAGAACTTGCTTTTGCTGGGAGAAAGGGTGAACGTTTTGAGATGAGATTTAGCATAATAGAACATCCCAAAGAAGTGTAATCTCTATTACTACAGAAGTAGCAAAATCTTTGTTTTTGACAAGCTGTTACTCCCTGTGGCCTGGTGGGAGGGTCCGTATGGCATATGCCACTGCCGACCTTGGCATCTGTTGCTGACCACTGCTGAGTGTCAGAAAAACTCCTCCTCATGCTGATGTTTAAACCTTGATGATAACCCCATACTGGCAGTTGCGATTCATCAGCAGCTGGGATTCCAAAATACTTCTTCCATTTGTTGTTCTACATGTGCAACATGTGTTATTATAATGGCTTTTGGTGCCCTTTTATTGAAGAAGCGACTCACTGGAAAAAATTCTTGACAAGGTCTTGCCTAGGCCACACCCTATTTATTGCCTTTTCCCCATTCCCTTAATCAGCTCATGATTTGCAGTATGGGACATTTAATTTCATACAAAATATGGCCTTACCCTTTTTTCCTTTTTTATTGTTAAAGCTTATATGTGCAAAGAAATGCATGCTTGGTGTCTAATTGGAAGAGGTGCACTGACTAAGTTCAATATATAACTCTATAAAATTCAGGATTTCTACATTGTGTCAGAGCTTTGGTCAGGCAGTGTATTAGCCTAATTTCATCACAGAATGATGAACATGGCTACCCATAGGCAGAGAACACAGGTTATCCTTCACTTGTACAACTCTTTCTGGACCGAGCCAAGTATGTTTTCTTCCAAGCAAATGGCTGTTTACAACCTCTCCAGGAACAAGTCCATTCATGGAAGACATCAAGCATGAACCATTATAAACATTTTATCTGTCTTGAAGATTCAGAGACAGAGTATCCCCTCTATATAAAGTTTTGAAATAGCAGAGACTGGAAGGCAGTAAAGTACAGGTCATCCAGGGTAGAAGGGCAAGCTAATAATTACAAAGAGTGATTTATTTAAAACAATTGACATTCATTAACGAAGTTAAGTCTTGAAAGAAATGTGTTTAGTAATTGATTAGGATGTTATGCACATAGGTGATTCATACTTTGGGCAGTCTAAGGGTGAGTATAAAAGTGCTCAACATCAGATCTTGTATGATCATTTGTCTTATTTCTCTTGTGAAGTAGGTAAGTTCTATCTGAATTCATTTTTCTAACAAAGCCTTTTTTTTTGGTATTTTTAAGTCAAGGTGATTCCTGTACAAATAGTCTGATACCAGTCTGAAGTTTTCTTGATGTGAATTAATAAATTTGTGACTGTTCAGTTATTGGCTTTGGTAAATACAGATCTGGGTGATTAGCTCCAGTTAATTTTTCATGAAAACTCATTTCCAGATGTTCTTGTGTTCAACACAAGATTTGTAGATGTCTTCTAGGAACTGAGCTATGAAAATTCTGCCTTTCCCTCTAGCCTGTTGATAGTCTTTTACTACTATGTTTGATCATGAAACTTTTAAAAATGTGTGCCTTATTTTTATTCTATTCCCTTATGCTTCAGATTAACCATCCCTGAAAAATGGTGCACTCTCTAAGCCCGTGCACTGACGGTGGTGCCTCCCCGTGCGGGGTGGCTGTGCCACAGCCCATTGCTGACAGTTGCAACGAGCCCTGTGTTCGGCAGTGTCCCGACTCCAGGGTGGTGATCTACCCTCCGCCGGTGGTTGTGACCTTCCCTGGGCCGATCCTCAGCACCTTCCCGCAGCAGAGCGTCGTGGGATCTGCAGGAGCCCCTGAAGTTGGAACTGGCTTTAGTGCTGCCCGTGCTCCTGGGGGCTCCCATGTTTATGGTGGTGCCAGATGGGCATGGGGATACCCAGTTGGAAGCTGTAGACCGTGCTAAACCTAGTGAGGGTTGCTACTGAAAGAAGAATGTCCAGGAGATGACAAGCGGGGAGTGAACATGTGGCCAAGCTCCAGGACACAGAATTTAGAAAGGGTTGACCATGTGAGGCTGCCACTAAATGCATCTGTAGATGCTCAGATCTTCTGAAAAATCCATTTACAATCTTCTCAGATGACCCTTCCTGATTTTCTTTTTCTAATGCTATATTGTCTTTTGAAGTCCTCTGTTCTCAATGCTATGGACTATATTGATAATTCCTTTGGGCTTGTAGGTATCATTGTGGCAATGTAAAAGGATCTGGCATGACATCCATTTTAGATCCCTTTGTAGGCTCTTTCTGTGGCTACTGATGGATAAAAAAGGGTTGTGGAGTCAAAGTCAACTAGCCTATGCTCTGTTTCTGTACTGTATGTGTCTTGCTATGATCAGGGCTGAGTATCAACAGAGCTGCAATAGGGAAGCAACATCAGTTATTACATGAATCATGCATCAAACCACAGGTTGCGGGCAATTTGTAATCTGTACTACATAATCCTGTCTCTGTATGATCTGCTTCTTTCTCATTAAACATGACGTTGCAACATGTTATTGGCCTTTACACGCGTGTGCAAGTCAGTGTGTTCCCCTCTGCTCCTCCTGCTTCAGGTGCCTTTGTCCTGCTGCACCAAACTGATCCCGTCGTTCTGCTTCAGGACAATGATATCCTTGAGAGATTTGGCAGCGGGTTGTGTGTGTGTCTCCTCTGCACAGCAACCTCTATGCTGTACCTGTCCCTTCATGAAACTTCTGCCAGGTCTTTGCTTTCATTTTCCCCGGCCTTGCTCAGCTCTGTGGAGCTCTTTGCTCAATATTGGCTTTTCTGGCACAGTGTGTTACCTGTTAGCTCTTGTCCTCAGGCTCAACCTCCCCATCTGGGCAGTGATACAATGAATTAGATTAGAGGTACATGGAGAGTCCATATTAGCAAGAAGAACCTGAAATCAAGTGTTATGTAAAAGCTGCTATTTTTAAGTGTAAAAACTAAATTCTGACTTTACTGCTCTGCCTAATGTTTTACAACAATGTAACCTCTGCATGTGAAAATGGATGGTGATATTCATTCATGGAATTTTGAATTTCTTCAGGAATATATCAAAAATAAACATTTCACAAGCTTTCTGTGTTGCAGTATGTTTGAAATGTTAGCTAGTGTTACAGAAACACTTTGTAACAAATACTGTAGCAAACAGACAAATACTTTGTTACAGAAACAGTATAATTCCCTATCACAGGCTGACATGAGAATGCTGGATTATTTCATAGTAGTCACTCTTTGGAGAACTATTATCCTTACTTGTAAGGAAAACAAAGTTGACCAGGCATTGTAATAGTGTGTAATTGGCTGTTGGTGAGACTTAGACAAGGTGATTAAACCAGATTCTCACCAACCACGTAGTCCTTCCATACAAAAGAGAAATCCCCCAAACCTCAAAAGCCAGATGAAGAAATCTTTATTGTTATGCTAATGGTGTATTTGGAAAGGAACTGGAGTTTATTATTAGGGCCTATCAAGTTGCCCTTTCCATTGAATAAATTGAGACTTGCAGTTACCACAAAGCACCAAATGTCATAAAATGAAGAAATTTTGCCAGTGGATTTCTGTGGAACTATTTAATACCCCTTTTATTAACTTCAATATAAAAGCTACTCCTGTGAAATGCTCTGATGCTTTCAGAGGACTAAAGATATAGAGTATCTTACCAAGAAGCTACTAATGTTTTTTTTTAAGCTAGTAGTAGAAGCATTTATTAATGTATTTTGGGCTCATTATTGCATTATGGGCTAAGGATATTAATCTAAATATAGCGAATCTTGAAATGCTTCTTGTTTCCCTCATTGCTTCCAATAATATCATTTTTCTTATACCATGGTCCGCTTTACCTCCTTTTAAAAGTTTTTGTTGTAATACTGCACTCTTAAGAAATATTTTCTGAAATGTTCTAGTCCATTTTGTGTGATACCCAGGGGTCCAGTTTCTCATTTGGGATAAGTTTACTCTTTAAAAATGATTCTCACTCTTGCAGTGAATCTTTGTGCTGGAGGCATGTCCTGCAGCATGCCTCATGTGTGGGTTGCTCACAAGGTGCATTTAAATTGGTAATTTCCTGCATGCAGGCAATAACTACATCCTGCTTCAGACTGGCATTCAGAAGTTTAAATGAAATTACAGGAATTAGTTTTCTGTTAGCTAAATTAGACATGTCATCTATTATGATAATATCTCATAGGCAGGCACAAAGTTCCTCTAATCATCCAACTTTTCTTAAGCCTTAGGGCGTAAAACCCTATGAAACAGGGAAAATGCTCTTCATGCACCCCTGAACAAGTGTATGAGAAACTCAGACCTTCCTGAGATGTTAGGATGGATCCTTGGGGAAACTGGCATCAGTGCTGTTGGCTGACGCTTGGGTGGCCAGGGAATAATTTGGACCCCGATTCTGCAACGATTTGGGAGTTCTTGGATCAACCTCATGTTCTTTAATGATTAGGTAATAAAATGATACAGTCCCTGTTTGGTAACTAAAGGCTGAGAGCCCTGTGGTAGGGGCATCTGGGGTGAGAAATTGGTTTTCCTCCCTGTGGGCTCCAGTGTTTGCATAAGTCTGACCTGCAGCAGGGGAGGAGATTCTGGATCAGGGGGTGAGCAAGGGAGGGCTGAGGCTGCTTGGCTGGGAGGTAGCAGAGAGGTGTGCAGAGCTGGAGTCGCAAAGAGAGCAGTGGCATCTTCAAAGCAAAAAGGGAAGTGAGGTGGTGCCCAGACGGCTCTCAGGCAGTGTGATGGAGGGAGGTGACAGGTCTGGGAAGGCTGGGGATGGCAGGCAATTACAACCATGTTCCCCAGGCATCGGGTGGTGATTGCACCCGCTGTCGGAAGTGGCAGTGCCTCTGGTAATGAACTGAGACGTGGTGAAGGGAAGAAACATCATAAATACTGCTGCATTGTCAAATGTGGACAGGGACCTGATGTTAAGTTGGGGCCAAAAGACCATGGGTAGGCTGAGAATTTCACCTAAATCTTTGGCTTTCCATGTCGTATTCTGTCTCTATTCCTGTGCACCTCTGTGTAAGCCCTTCTGCACTGTACGTGCAGGTGGGAAAAGCCTTGTGTGCCAGAAGGCATCCAAGGGAGATAAGCTGAATTTATTGTGTTGAGAGACTCTACCATTTCTTAATGTTTTCCCTGGGGAACCCAGCCCTTTTTGCTGCTGACAGCAGCTAGCAAAAGGATTACAAAAGCTGTCTTAATAGCTTTGCCAGTTTCAGAGGTTGTACTGATTTACTGCTGACGTGCCCTGCTAGGAGGATAGGGTGGAGGTTGCTGCCCTTATCCCCTTCCTGGGGCATCCTGATCTGGCTCTGTCTTGCTCAAACTAGGACACAAAGACAAGCCCTGAGCGATGAGGCAGCAGACCAGGCCCATCTCTTGTCTGTGGCTGCTCCTTCCCAGACAAGGAAGTGGATTTGTGGGGCTCATCTTCTGCTATGGTCCCGTTCAAGGTCAAATGGTTTAAGTGAAAGCAATGACATGGATGTAAAGAAATAGACTTTGGACTGGAGGAATAGCATTTACAGCTTGGGGGACTATTCTACTGACTATATCTGTTTTTTTTTTGCCTGTGAAAGTGCTTCTCCAGCCTGCTCTGTTAGTTATTTTCTTCACCCTTTCCTCCATTTTTCTCTGTCAGCTGAGGAAAGAAGAAATGCTTGTGCAGGTGGCCACCATGAGAAGCAAAGGGCTAGACAAGAAGGATATCTCTTGAAAATCAGCCCAGAGGTGCCCCCTTACAGTCACTTCTGCAACAAGATGTTTGACTCCTGGTGATGTCTTTGATGTATAACTGGGCTTGCATGGGATCCATGCAGTTTTGTCTAGGCTATGCTTGTTGAACCACCTTATTCCATGCCAGATTATAATCTTGAATATTATAAATCTAAATCAAGACTACTCAGTCTCCTAAAATGACATGGAAGAGGCTGACAAGAACTCCCTGAATAACTTGGTTGTTCAGTTTGCAAAGGAGATGATCTTTCTAGCAGATGGTCATGGCTTGGTTGCCTTTGGTATTTTCTCTTGGGTGCCTTCAACCTTGAATATCATTGCTATCTTTCCTTGGTAAACCATGAGACTTCCACTCAATCTCTTCCTTTTGAAAGTTATTTTTCAAGCACAAAACCTAATTTCCTTCAGGAGGGTGTGTGTTTGGTAATACAGACAGTCAGGTCATGCCCTTTTCTGAAGTATTTATACAAACCCAGGATCACAGTTTGGTTAAAATAAGGTAAAACTTCTTCCTGCTCTGGGAAATGAGTTGGGGCTGGAGTATTTCAGATGGAGATGAGGTAATACTCTCTAACATCTGGAGTCTAGACCTCCCTCTTATTGTCTAGGTGGTTAGAGTGGCAGTGCTGCTGGTTCCTTTACAGTGGTGAATGAGCACAGACAAAAAGGGAAAACTGGACATCTGATACTATTAAGCAGAGTAATTTTAATGACAATGAGAAACAGTGAGTAACACAAAGAATAAGTTAGCAAATTTTACAAAAGGGTCTTCAGCAAGGAGAGTGTGTTTGATGTTGGATGAGCCTTTCTTGTTGTGGAAACGGTGGAGTTTGACAGTCCAGACATGTTTGTTGCTCACAGAGTTGCTGGTAAATCATGTTCACTGCCAGATGAGGCACAGCATGAATATATAACAGGAGCTTCTCTACTAGATGTCATCTTTGATGAAGTTTATAGCTGACCAAAGTGGACTCGTCCATGGTGGTTGCAGAAACTCCTATTACTATGGCAATAAAAAGTGGCTGAGAGTTAACTTAAAAAGCACTTTACTCACACCTGGAAAGTCTTGCCTTACTCTGTCAACATGCTGTAAAGGTGCCTCAGTACTTGCTGTAATTTAAGTTGCCCTTTAGAGTAATAGTTGAAGAAACAGGAGGTATTAAAGAGTGTTACATATGGGGTAGTCTTATGCAGTCTGGCATCCCATGTCCTACTGAACTCAGCCAGAGACATGGGTGCTCAGCATTTCTCAGCATCATAAACTTATCCATGAATCCATGTCCTGCATTTCATTTCTTGTTTGCTATTTCTGCTGGTTCAGCGTGGAGAGCAGTTTCAATAGCTGTATCTGTTTCCAAAACGAGAAGAGAAGGGGTAGCCGTACCCAAACCCGTCCAAGTCCCCATACCCATAATAACCCCCATAACCATTCAAGCCTCTGTTCCCATACAGACTCCCAAAGCTTCTGTAGCCATATGGGCTGCCATATCGGTACTGGTCCCGGTAGTAACCATATGGGCTCCCAAATCGGTAGCCATTCAGGCCCCCAAAACCATAGAGGTCTTCATAACCAAATGGTGAATAGCACCCATCATCACAGAGGTCCCTGTAGAAAGTCATCCTTTGTTGGTGCAGGTAACCTGAAACACACACCCAGAAGCAAGATGAATTTATGGGCTGCTGACAGCAGGACGAAAGGCTCAAAGTTCAGACAGAGCTGATGAAATGCAACTCATTCCCACCTGCAGGTCTTTTTCATCCTCCTAACCACCTCATTTATTTTTCTAATCTCCTGAATCCCAAACAACTTTTCTATTTTTTTTTACCCCCTCAACTTTTGAAAATGGCTGACTATAGATGGAAAATATGTTTGTTTTTTTTTTTTTACCGAGGACTAAATTCTCCTACCCCAGAAGTTAGAGAAATTAGAATATATACCAGTTCAAGTACTGATGCTTATTCAGATGAGACCATCAACTGATAACATGCATTCCCTTATCTCCTGTAGTGCTGTGTGCCACTCATTGTGGAATAAACACAAAGCATGCAGTGAAATGGAGGAATTTCCTTCCAGGTTATCTACTTGAAGTAGTAGATGTTTCCTAAAGTTTTTATCTAGAGTTTGAATTCACAAAACCTAGTGAAAATAGATGGGAACTGGAAATTACTAATGGCCAAAATTGTGGCAGTAAACTTCAAATTTTCAGTGCTTTAAAGCCTACTCCTAAAAAAGTAAAGGAAGAGCAAAAAGGTTTCCATGGAGGAATTCCCTGGTGTTGCAGAGAATTTTGTGTTTGAGATTAGCTCCAAAATGACAAGAAACTGCTTATATAATGTCTGTACATATATATAGACACACGTTCTGTATGTCATCTATATATGTACATACCAGTGCCTTTTTTAATATATATATATTTATGTCCATGCACACACAGAGGCAAATATTTATACGAACATAAACATATATACACAGAAATATACGTATATGAGAGAGTAAAGTTAGTATTGACTTACCTGGTTCACCGAGGGGAGTAGCTCGAGAGAAGTGAATAAAATTCTGGAGTTGTAGGTCCATATATATACCTTCTTAAACTTAGGTGATAGTTATACAACATATCTTGTTGCATGCATTATTCCTTCAGTTCATGTAATTGGAGTCAGTGATTTTCATATTTTCAAAGTTTGATGTTATGACACGTGTGTAATACTTCTAGAATTTCTTTCATCTTAAAACAAGAAGAAATGGGCTCAGCGCATTTATAGTAAAATTGCATGGAATTCTTTGTAGTTGGATGGATATGAATAATTTTGGTGAGATGCTTAGACCATTACTGGTTGCGCAGTCTGCTTATAGGTGCTCCATTGGCTTGGCTTTTGCATCTGTGGTGCAACACATAGGGGAGAAAAGGAGTAGGCTTTTCGTTGGTGTGCTGAAACATCGTAGTACTTCTATTCAGCATCATCATGACCTGTATATACTGCCCAGTGATGTTGGTGGGGAACTCTTGCCAGCAACGTTGATTTTTGTCTCAGGTTCTACAACGGCAATTTTGAAGAAATTTTTCAGCTGCCTTATGAATGTTCCCAAATATCTCTTCCTATTTTAAATGATTTTTTTTTCTATAGTTTTTGACTTTTATGAAACATATAATACATCACCTTATTAGGACTTAGAAACAAGAGACCTTGATGTGTCTTGTAAGTGACCATGTTATTAAATCTGGGGGTGTCTTTCAGTGACAAACTATTAATATTTAAATACTGCAACACTTTGCAAATTGAAAACATTAATGAGGGTTTATGAAATGCTTTGGTATTCAAAATTCTGAGGAAGCCTCAACATCCTGCTTGCTCATTATTGCCCTTATTTTATATTCAAATTAATGCCAGAAATTAGGTGAAGGTCATACAAGGAGTTCTGCAGTAAACTCCAGCATTCCTTGCTGTTATACCATATTAGATACATGTACTTGATTCTTTTCAAAGAAATATTAACATGGTTTCTTGGAAAAAAGCATTTAGTACATCTTACAAATTTCTTGTTGTTTATTATTTCCCACACCAAGTTCATACTTGTGTTCTCCACTTTGTTCTGCTGAACTCGCAGTCAAGCCCTCTAGTGAACTAAACTGCTAGTTGTATTTCCATTGAAATAATTTTTTCTGCTCGTGAATCAGCATGACTTTTATTCACCATGACCACTTTGGAGGAATGCAGTTAAGATTTATTTTCAGTTTGTGCCGGTCCTGTTTCCTGAAGTTACTATGTAGTTTAATATACAATAACTAAATAAATGTTTACATTTCCTTTGAACAGGAAGCTTGTGCCATGATGCATCAGAGTTTCTAGATATTTTCAACAGATATTTTCAAACATTTGGGAAGGTTTCCTTTTTTTGCTGAAAATTTCTCTTTCTCCAGTGGCTTTGTGAACATGTAAATGCTTTTGTATTATATGAAAAGAAAATTCAGTTTTGTCAGTGAAGACAATAAAATGATATCAGGAATGTAGTTGGCCCAGAAAATTTTAAGATGAAAGAAACCTGTAATGCATGTGACATGGGAGGCTGGGAACACACTAATAATCCCAAACAATGAAGAAAATTATATTAATTGAAGATATGACGTGTACAGGCAAATTTGTTTTCCAACCAATAAGGCTAGAAACCTTTTGAATGCACAGGGCGTCTTAGATAAGCCAGGCAGGCAAAGAAACAGTATAAAAAGGGCTCAGAACTCTAGGCTTCTCATCAGCTCTCTCACCTTCTCCTCCTCCTGGTGAACTCGGTAAGCTTTTTCTCCATTCAGTCTCTTCATAAGGACTAGAATTTTTGCTTTAGTGATTTATGTTAGGATTGTGGCTTCTCTGAAATTTAAGATTTCTCTGTATCTTGTATATGTGCTTACTGCATTGTAGGAAACTGGAGGGTTTAAGTTTTAAAGCTGAGGGCTGAAACTTTCCTGGTCCTGTTGGTATCTGGTTCCCCAGTAAGGATCGCGGGTTAACGTTAGATCTGCAAAGCTGCCTCCAGCAGACTTAGAGAAGGGTTTCCCCACTGTGCCCTTCAGTGGGTTCTTCCATAAATCCTCTGGCTTATTTTAAAGGAGGTCTTCAGGTATGTTTGGTAGGACAGCAGATGTTCTCATGTGTGCTAATGCTCCATAGTTTCTTGCATGTGTGGTCAGCATTTCCAGATGCCAATGAAAATTGGTGTAAATCACTGAAATAGGATTTGGAGCAAGGGACCCAAAAGCTGAAGTGTGTCATCATGGCAAATATCAGACACGTTAAGCTTTCTTGAAGACTTTCTTGAAGGTTTTGGGAATGTAGATCTCTATGAAAAGCTGATACCCTAAAGGAAATTTAGGATTGTTAACTCCTAACAATAGTCTCTAAGAAAAATCCTGAAACAGCAGCAAGGAAGTTTTGCTCTCTAACAGCTATTTTCCACAGTCAGTGTTTTCACCAATCTCAGTAAGTGAGGAAAGAAATAAAATGGTTTAAAAACAATGGGTAAATGAGAAAATGATAGAAATAGGATGCAAGAAAGAGCTGAGGAATTTCATCATCATTTTATTTTGTCCATGGTCTCATGGGGCCAGTGAAGAAGTCTTTGGGCTTTAAGACTGTTACTGCTGCTGGAACTATTTATTACTTTTGCTTTCCTCCCTGCTGCTGTGTTTCAGGTTTGTCTCCATCGCAGAAAGATGACTTTCCTCCAAAGCCAGTGCGAGGATGACTGCTATTCTCCCTGCAATTACGGGAGCCTGTACAACTACCGGAGCTATGACTGTGGGAGCCCTTGCGGCTACCGGGGCTACGGGGGCCTTTATGGCTACCGAGGCCTCTACGGCTTTGGGGACCGATATGGCTACGGCGGTCTGTACGGTTACCGGGGCATTTATGGCTCTGGGGACTGCTATGGCTATGGGGGTCTGTACGGTGGATATAGGGGCTTCTATGGCTCTGGGGACTGCTATGGCTACCCAGGCTTTTACTCTGGCCGCTATGGCTACCCCTACAGTTCACGCTATGGCCAAAGGTTCGGCTATGGGAGCTGCTACCCCTGCTAAACCCAGCAATCCCTGAAATGAAGATCAACCCAGGTCTGGCAAGCACGGATTGACGGTGAATCTTGGCAACAGCCGTCCCCAACATGCAGAGCCCTGGTGACAGCAGCCACCCTCCACAGAAGATGAGCGCTCTGTGCTGCTGTTGAAGTGCTTGCGATGATTTATCCTTGTTTTGCTTCGTGTCCGCTTGCTCTGTTGCCACCCAAACACTCCTCTCGATGAAAAGCTTGTTTCTCCTTGACACCGCGGTTCTTTGTAAACTGGCTTTTACATTTGTTGCAATGATGTACAAAACATTAACTCTGAATGAATGGTATAGGCAGGGTGTAATATGTCTTTGGGAATGTAGTCTTTCAGTTCTGTATGCCTTTGAAAGTATATCAGCCTTTCACTCATATTAAAAATTATACTGCATCAATACTGTATTTCTGGTTTTATTTTCTCACATGCATTTCTTCAGTATCTTGGAATTAATCAGATCACACAGATTGGGTGGCAAAGTTGTTAACTTTGTGTACTCAAGGATTTGCTTGGAGAGACTTGTCCTCCATGAGCTAAGAAACATAGACTTTTGTAGCTGCAAGAAACTTCAGCTGTATCTCTGGTTATGCATATTTCTACAACTCTGGGCTTTTGCTTGGTGTATTGAAAAAAAAAAAAAAAAAAAAAAAAAAAAAAGGTTCATTTAAAATACTCCAGTGCTGCAGTTGGGCTAATGTGATGTGGTTAAGACACGATCCATCACTGGCTGTGATCTGATATTGAAGAGGTCATAGATAACTGCAAATGTGTGGACTTGTCAGGTTTTTAATTTTGAAAAAAGTTTGTGTTTTGTATATTATCATAGAATCATTAAATAGCCCAGATTGGAAGGGACCTGGAAAGAATAGCATTGAAAGATTAGGGGTTTTCTGATGGAGAAGTGGGAGAAATTTGTCCTCTGCATTGTAAATAATTTGGTAGGAGGAATGGATATCCATTGGCCAGCACTTCCGAGGCACGGCAGCAGGGTGGTTTTGTCTGTCAGTTCAGGGAAGCGTATGCAGAGCCCATGTTTTGGAAGGAAGCAGAGTCACGACTTTTTTGTGCTGACTTTTTTGTTCTCTCATTGAACATTATGGGCAGAGGCCGAGAAGCTGTGGCTGCATGAGGGAGGAAGGTGATGGTACTTTCTTACTGCTTCCTTGGCCAGGGGCAGCTGTCAGACAAGAGCTACCAAAATTCCCTGGGGAGACTGAGTACGGTTTCACTTGTATTTTTTTATTTTTTTAATTAAAGGACTATTTATCTCTCTTTTATTTTTTTTTTTTTTTTTTTTTTTCCCACTTTTCTTTCTATCTTCTAGCTTTTAGTCCCTGGATTTAGTGAATTATTGTAACAACACCTGTAGAAATGGATTTTTTGTACTACCCAGTGTCTGTGTGGAAGATCAAGGCAGTGTTTTGAGTTTTCAAGGCCATCATCAAGACAGGAAAAGCCACCACTTCCTCCCTGACACTTTTTCCATTGCTGTTATGTTTTTCTTTTTATTTATGTTTCACTGCCTGCTAATGAAATTTGACCGTTAAATTGGAATTTGATAGGAAATTGTGACTCTGGAACAAGAAGATTTGAATTTGATTTCTAGGAATAGGACAATATTCTGCTCATGTGAACATTTTTATATACTTGCTGTAGAGACCTAAGACCAATTATTTTCCATTGTAAAACATTTTTATGAAGACTATTACAGCCCTATTACGCTGAAATGTGTTAACCTTAAATCTGGTAATAGTTTCAATTAAATAAAGGTAAGGGAGAAGTTGTGGCATTTCTCAAATTTATAAGGGGTAAAACGGAAGAAAATAGTATATATACTGGGACCAGCTGCTCTGAATGCGGAGGGGTATGAAGTGCTTTGCCAGAACTAGGGATGGAAAGTCCCTTCAGGATGCCACCACTCAATATATTAATGTAAACT